TAGGGATCCAGTGTTTCTCAAGGCTAAAAGTAGAAAAATTTTTTCTTAGTAAAACCCCCATTTGTATAAAACAACATACGCACAAAGACCCAGAATTTCCCTAACCCCATCGTGAGAGACTAGTCTTTAAACCTTTGTACCTTCGCTGAAGAGAAAAAATGGCTAATTCTCACCATGGCCCATTTAGTGTGAAACTCAGTGAAGAGGAGGGATGCCAAACAGCCTTCGGTCACAAGGGAGACAGGGCAGGGGTGCTCCTCCCTCCCACTTCCCTCACCTTCCCTCCTAGCATTGAATGATGAATAAATAGTGAGGCTCTGGGCTTTGCTTTCCTAGATGATCCACATGTGCACCACAAACAGAACAACACCTCCCATCTGGGGAAATGATCTCTCATGCTTGGAAAAGCAGAAAACACAACCAGTGGGAGAAACCCCCCTGTTTCCCATGCAGTGATAAAATGCTCCACCTATAGCCCTCAGGAGCCTTTCCTCTCACATCCCAGCAGTCTCCTCTTGCAGGTCACGTCTTTCACATAAAAGTGCTAAACTAATGCCGCTTAATGACAAATTAATGTCCATGAATAAAAAATACACCTCTAATAGCATAGAGTAATTTGCCATTACAATATCATCATTGGACATGCCCCTGGTTTAATACGATGTATTTAATTCATAACCTAATGAGTGATATATAAAAAGAGGGAGATGAACCCTGCAATTACATTTATGTGAGTCTGTCACCTTATTTGTAAAACCTTAGAGTCATTTACATTCAAATTAGAACAAATGAGTGATTTCACAAAGTGCGCTGATAAATGACCACAGCAGCCCCAGACAAAACTGTATTTCCTGTGAACACATTAACAGTTTCCTATTATTTGTTAAAAATTACAATGCGTATTGCCCAGTGTGGTGTGAATAATGACTTTTTTACTGATTAGGTCAGAAGAGTAATATGTAGCAAAATAAATAATTTTTCTTTTCATTTTTTCTGATTTTTGCTTTAAATTAACTACTGCATTCTGGTGGATTCACACTGCCACCTGCTGTCTGGGAACAGACACTGGACATACACTCCTATCAAAGGGAGTTTATATATTCATTACTTTGGTGGTTTTATAAAAAAGTCTATGTGATGATTCTTTTTTCTCAACACATTTAAATTGCTTATCATTATAAAGACTGTGATAGCGAACAGAAAGAACATTTGTTCACCAAAAAACAGGATATATTATTGGAGGAAGGTGCTATCAAATTTAAAACTTCTGTTGGTTGATTTTTTTTGAAGCTAACTATAAACAAAGACATCTTTAGCCTAGCACAGTGGCTCACATCTGGAATCCTAGAACTCTGCGAGGCTAGGATTAAACTAGCCCTGAGCTTAGGAATTTGAGGCCAGCCCAAGCCACAGCAAGACTTTATCTTTACTGAAAACAAAAAAATTAGCTGGGCATTGTAGAGGGCACTTGTATTCTCAGCTACTGGGGAGGGTGAGGCAGGAGGATGCCTTGAGCCCAGGAGTTTGACGTTGCTGTGAGCAAGGCTGACAGTACAGCACACTACCCAGGGCAACAGAGTGAGACTCTGTCTCATCTTCAGCAAAGGACCTGGCTCCTAACACACCACTTCTAGGAAATCCATCACCGAGTCCGGTGCTGACACCTCCGATCTAACAACACCCTGATGCAGAGGACAAGGAGCTATGTGTGATGTTTTCCCCACCCCTGCCACTTGGGACAATCTAAAGGGAACTGAAAGGACCTGCCTGCCACCAAGGATCTCTACCAGCTAGTGTTCTCCCAAATGGCAAGTCTCAACACAAAAATTCTGCCTCAGGGCCCAGAATAAAGTGGGCCAGAAAGGCACTAGACCTGGAGATGAGGCTGGGGAAGAACAGGCCTGGCCTTGGTGATGAAGATCAGGACTTCTGTAGGGACATCATAATGCACCTGAAAGGTTATCACAGGAGGTAATGAAAGACTCCACACCAGAGCAATATCCTAGTCTTCAATTGAAGTTTCTTCATCCCTAAAAAGAAAAGAACACCCACCTGCCTGTAGGGGTGGCTCAGCAGAGTGGGAATGGGAGTCCTTGCAGCACACTCTGTGTGACAGGCCCTCACTCAATGTGCATTGCCTCACTTCTCTGGGAAAGACAGTGATGCTCTAGGGACTGCAGTTTGGCATGGACAGAAGGTAGGAACAAGCAGAGAACCTAGGAGATATCGTAACCTATAAGCAAGAATGGGAAGGGCCTGGAGAGAGGCAAGACCCCCTAACTCCCATCAGTTAGCATCATGTTCACTGGCTCTCCCTTTTATCCCTACAAACATGCTTTGGGCCTGGGTGGAGACCTCACAGCCTACAGGGCTAATTCAAACCTGTCCTCACTGACACAGAGGGGCACTGTTCCTGCAGTGTGGGACACTTGTCCTCAGCAGCCCACCACAGGAAAACAAGAGGAGGTAGGTGTTCATACAGGGGCCTGAGGTGTCTCTCTCCTTTTCGGGGTGGGGGGCAGAATCAGCATCTACATGTGTTCAGAGGATCTTCAGGCCCAGGCAACAGCTGGTGATAGCTGGCGGCTGGGGAGTGTCAGGGAGCGTCCGCACCTGGTTATCTTTGGACACTCTGCTAGTGAGCAGTAGTACTGGTGACAGAAGGTAGTAGAGCAGGGTCCACCCTTCACTCCTCTGGCAGAGAAACCAAAGAAACAATGGTAATTTCAGAACAACAAAACATTGCCAGACATCTTAGTGAGAAGTATAGTTTCAAAATCTCTGAGTTGACAAAGTACTACCTGAGAATGGAAAATATATTAGCATTGACTGACAGGGACCGATCTCCAGGTATAAATTGAACATTGGAAATTTTTCACATAAAGATTAGTTTTACAGGGCGGCACCTGTGGCTTAAAGGAGTAGGGCACCAGCCCCATGTGCCGGTAGCAGGATCAAACCCAGCCCCAGCCAAAAACTGCAAAAAAAAAAAAAAAAAAAAAAAATTATTTTTACATATTCAATAAAATGGTCTCGTACAAAATTAAAGATCATTTGATCAATACTGCCAACAAATAGCAAACAAGCATAGCTGTAAGACTGTATTGAAATATAAAACAGATTAACCCAATCTGTGATTTTTATAATCCTAAGAGCGAAGCAGGGTATATATTTTTAGAAGACTGGATGAAGGTTTCTGCATATACATGATTTGGGGACTCACATCATCAGTTTCCTTCTACAAGTCTGACATCTTACAACAATCACAGACAAGAAGGAAAAGTAAGACTATACAAGAGAATGACATGAAAACATATTTGTGAAAGTTTCAACCACTGTCAAAGGAACCTGAATGGTAACTGCCCATTAAATGTATCTGTATACAAGTTACACTTTTACCTAAGCAAAGAAATGGAATACAACAGTTAAATTCCAAAGTGCACAAGTCACTTAGTACCTCAACAAATTCATCTGATAGAGTAGGAGAAAATATCCGTGTACTTGTGATGTTCCCCTGGAATTCTTATTTATAGAAAATTGTAGGTATAGGTATCCAAAGATACACACATATATACACACCATTTATAATACACATCATGATAACCAACACTGTAACCAAACTTGTATCATCAATATGCATCAACAATTATTATCTGTCAGGGAAAAAGTGAATCAGGTCATGATGCATACAGCTCTTGCAATATTTGACAGAGAAATGTCAAATAAAAGTAATTTCAATTTTATAAGTCAAACACACACTTCTGAAGTTGTATAACCTTTCTATATGATTCCCATTTGCTACTGGCAGAAAAGGATTAAAAACAGCTTTCCCATACCACCTAACAATATTGAAGGGAAAAGAAAGGAAAGTAAGATAAAAATAGTCAAATATGTACTGTTAGATTAAACCTGCTCAATGATGACAGAAACGTCCTGTGTTGTATGTGGACTGCTTCTTGGGTGCACATGGCTGCACTTATCACACTGTCATTCAGTGAGGCACTGGCTCCTATTCCCCAGGGTTGTGAGGAAGATTAAGTAAGATGCTGTATGAGAAAGAGCTTTGTAAACAACCTAACGGGCACCAGAAGTCAATGATAAAGGAAATACTTAAAATTAGAGAAAATAATTAGAAAGAAAATAAAGTAATTGGGCAAGAAAACAATTTTTTTCTGCTAATATCATGTCATATGCCCAAAGATAATGGAATTATCTTAAAAGTATTGCTGTTGTTATAATGCTGTAATAAATGTAAGTGAAAGTGACCACCAGTGGGGTAAATGGGAAGATCCTAAAATTAGAAATAAGTTCTTAACTCTCTGTAAAGTCAGTCTGCCTAAGATGCCCTATATCTCCCTACCTACCTAAGAGTTTTCATTCAAGAAGAAAAATAGTCTTTGGAATCAGGAAGGCCGACCACTCACCAGCCATATTGCCTCAGATAAGTCGGATAAATTTCAAATCTCTGATTTTCATCTATAAAAATGTGCAGTTTTAAGAACTGAATGTGAATACATCTGTAAATACACACTCAGTGCTGGTGTACAGGAGTTTTCTCTCCCTCTTGCTCATGGAGCTTTTCTGACCAGCCAGCAAATCAGAGGGACACACAAGGGACACTCAACCCCTCTACAGCATTCAATGCCTGGGAAATGCAGGGGTATTAATCACATATGACTTTGCGGTATGTTCGCTACTGTTACTGCGATCTTCAACTATCACTGAACATGTCCTGCACTTGTTATCTCTGAAATCAGAGAACCCTGTTTCAGACTAGGACCCTGTCCAGTGTCATCTTTCCAGGACCCACAGGGAACCCTGCATGTGGCTGTTGAGTTAATCTGCTGTGAGGACACAGAGCTGCAGCTCCCTCCTGGGAGCCTCCTGGAGACATTCCACCACATTTTACCTGTCATTCAGCTCCAGCTGGCGAGGGACAGCTTATAGGTAAAGGAGAAAGGTACATGAAGGGCATAAAAGCAGGATGAAAGCTCACATACCTGGATGAGATAGTGGGAACATAAATTGAGAAGCTCTAACAGCTGTAGGTGACTGCCAGCTGCTAACACATCCTGGATCACACCTGGCTCCAACAAAATCTGTTTGGGTTTTTAATAAAAAGAAATCCATACATTAAATTTAAAAATCAACATAATATTGCTTAATGTATAAATATACCATACTATATTTAAATTTCTGCTTTATATATTCTACCTGAATTAATACTGCTCCTTATTATGGAAGTCAGTTCTTCTCTTTGTATTCAGATTAATGAACTGCGGCCCTCACTCTAACACCTGAATTTTCTCTTTACCATGTGGGCTATGTTTATTCCCTGTGTGTAAAGCCCTGCACTTAACCACCTGTTTTTTTAGGTGGATATGGATATTTTCAAAGAACAATATAACCCTCTTAATTCAGTTTGTGATATAATGTTATAAAATATAAAAGAACAGAGTTTTACTTTTTTCAAAGTATTATATATTTCAGATTTTGCTTTTCAGTAGGATCACAGAAACAGTAACGTCAACACATATCTTAGGGGAATGGGCGATACTTCTCCTTGCCATATGCGCCCAGACGTGGATATTATCCCACTTTATTTGTGAGTCATGGAACAGTAAACTTCAATCACAAACTTTCATCTTTATCTTTCTCAGTCTCAAATTTTCTCATCTCTTCTATTTAAAACAAAGGATATATAAATAGCATTTGTAGAATATAAAGACATCACAAAGAAGGAAAATCTGCCACGATTACTGGTGATAGCAATTCTTCAGTCTTTCGGTGTAGTCTAATTCTCTGCTGTGGCTAGCTCTTGAGCAGCTGAACAGGGCAGGAGAAAGACCTACAGCCATCCTGACGGAATTCACGTTACATGCATGACTGCCAGGCACGAGGAGGCCTTGATGACACCCCAGCCATCCATTCTTTTGCAGTTTTTTTTTTCTTGGCCAGGGCTGGGTTTGAACCCAGCACCTCCAACATATGGGGCCGGTGCCTTACTCCTTTGAGCCACAGGTGCCGCCTCAGCCATCCATTTTAATCCGTGTCCCCGCCCAGGGGTTCCGGAGTCTGGTCTCCGGAGCAGCACATCAGCACCTCCTGGGAACTCATGAATACAGCAAACTCTGGGTATCTCCCCAGGCCCACCAAACCCAGAAACTGTTAGGGTGAAGCAGCTGCTGTTTTAACAAGCACGGGAAATGTCTTAACACATTAACTAAGAAAATGGGGTGATGGCTATGTTAACCAGTTTGATGAAAATATTTCCAATTGTATATAAAACCAGCACATGGTACCCCATAACTGCATTAATGTACATAGCTATGATTAAAAAATAATAATAACAAGTACAGGGAGGGAGGCACGAGCCCCTTCCGCTCTGCTACTTCATCACGCTCCTTTCCCCTCCAGACTCCAACTCCTCCTCTGCCTCGTTTTCCATTCACCATGTTCCAAAAGCTCCACCACCAAATCCACCACCCACCTACCTGATCTGTATCAGTGGGTTCTGCCCTTCCCAGTGTGCCACCGTGCACTTGATCCCAGCCGTTTCCGCCTGCGATTGTTCCCCCCCTTTCCTGCATCATTGTGTCTTTTCCCACCAGAGGGCAATTCCCATCAGCTCACCAACATACCCCAGGGCTCTTACCTTAAATAACGGACAGAAGGCCCCTCCCTGGACACCACAGTCCCCTTCATAACACGTCTCGGGGTGTTCTGTGCACCTCACTGTCATTCGCTCTACTCTGCCCTCTGCACACCCACTCCTGTTCCCACTGTTCCACTGAAAATGTTCTTGTCAAGTCACTGGTGACTCTGTATTTCCAAACCCAACAGCCATTTCTCAAAATATTTAATCTTATTCAAGCCAGCAGCAGTTCACAAAGTTCACTGTGTTCCTTCTTAGAACAAATTCTTCCCTTCCCTCTGGGACCACACTCCTTGGTTTTCTTTGGCTTCGCTGGCCAGTCCCTGGCCTCTACGCTTTGGAGATGCCCAGAGCTGAGTCCTCAGACCTCATCTCTCCTCTCTCCCCTCACTCTGTGGATGGTCTCATGCAATCCTATGGCTTTAAAACCATATTCAGTTGACCCTCAAACAACAGGGGTTTAAACTGTGATGGATGCGCTTACACAAAGTTATTTTTTCAACCAAACCCAGATCAAAAACACAGTATCTGTGGGATGTGAAATCTACATATACAGAGGCCAACTTTTCCTTCAACTGGGCTCTGCAGGATGAACTGAGAACTTGTACATGTTTGGATTTGGTATTCTGGGGGGTCCTGGAACCAATCCCCTGAATACACTGAGGGACAACTGTATACACTGATGACACAGAATCTGTTTTTCCTCCCCAACCTCATCCCTGGAGTCCAGACTTTCATATCCACCTTCCTGTTCAGCATCACAATGTGGATGTCTAATGAGCAGCTCAAACTGAGCACACCCCAAACAGAAACTCTTGACCCTTTCACCACCGCGAGCACTGCTGCCATCCCAATCCTACCAAGTCAGGAGATAGCAACCACCAGTCGTTTAGGCTAAAACTGCAGAGTCATTCTCAACTCCTCCCGTTTCCTTCATACCTCACACCAGGTCCAGCAGCCAGTGCTGTGGGCTCTATCTTCGGGCCAGCTCCAGAACCCAGTCACCCCTCACTGCCGGCATCCTTACTGCTCTAATGCAGTCCACTCTCCTTCCTCAACCCTAGCGAGGTGCACTGCTTTCTCCTTTGTCACCTCACACTCCTTTCAATAAGAATAACCAAATTCCTCCTTCAAAAACATCAATGAAACCATGTTGGTCCTTTTATTCAGAAGACCAATGACTTTCCATCTCAATGAAAATAAAACCCGAAGTCTTCACTGTAACCAAAAAAGTCCCTTGAACATGCTGAGCGCCTCACTATTCACACCCTGTTGTCTCTGCCCAGCTCACTCACTCACGGTATCAGTGTGCCTCACTCCTGCCCACCCTGCAGACTGCTGATCGCGATCCTCTAACCTGAGACTTCTGTGACCATTCCGTGTAGAATGGAACCCTGTTCCCCAGCGCCCATCATTCCCTGTCTCCTAGCATTGTTTTATTCTTCATCGTATCACTCACCACCTCATATTTCATATTTATTTGTCTGACTATTTTGTTTCTCTACTCACTGGGATCTACACTCCAGGAGAGCAGGGACTTGGTCTCTTTTGTACCCCTGGCACTTAGAGAATGCCCAGCACACAGCATTGCTCAATATTGATGAATTTATTTCATTAAAAATATTGATGAATTAATTGATCTATACACATTTTAATTCAGCATTAATTTTAATTAATCTTAGTAATTAATGTAACCTACAAAGAAAAAGAACTTTAACTTATATCTGAGCTAGCAAAGAAGTGAAAAAGTTTAGCACGTGAGCCTAAAAATACCAACAGTTGTCTTATTCTGAAAATTCTTTATAGCTCCTTTTCCAGCTAGTCAGAAAGAGAAAACTAGGTTTCTCCAGCTCCTCAAGGAGGGAGACTTTGACTGACATTCCAGAAATTAGTGCCGCTCCCATCGCAGGAGCAAGGATGTGACATAGTCTTTCAGGAGAGACATGGCCTGAGGTAGAGAATGGGGACTAGACGGATTAGAAAGGTTAGTTTTAGCCTTTAAATCCTGTCAGCTGCACTCATTTCACACGACTGGTATGCATGATAACCTCCAAGGCTTGGTAATACCGAACACAAAGACAGATACCACAGAGACGAGATGAACACCCCTCACGTCTGGGACACACCCAGCAGGCTGACGGCGAGAAACTGTGCTAGGAAAAACCCACACTGAGATGTTGTTTTTGTCTTTCTTATTATTTGTTCTGTAGTTTTTTCCTCCACTCATTATAACGTAAGTTTTTCTAAAAGACACTTTAGCACAGAAAAACAGTAAGTGCTTTTAAAGGTTTGGAGAAAGGACCTTCCCCATGTAGCTGGTTCTCACAGAAACAGAATGAGCCTGTGCACACCCTGCTGTATTAAATTCGCTGTTTGGCTTTGTGGTGACTGGCTGCTCTAATACGATTTTTCCAGAGAATTTGTCTGGGCAACAATAAAAAGAAAGATTCGATCTCCTCTTGATTTATAGCGTGGTGAATTTATCTATCACTTGCCTTGAAGGGCTGGCCCCAGAGCATTACCTCTGTAGAATACACTATGCACATTTACAATGGACAACTAAGGAAGCTAAATTTTAAGTTCTGCAAAGCATCACATTTAGGCCTTTCAGAAGCTTATGCCCACCACCATGGACTCAGACACTCAAACCAGGAGGGTCACTTGAGGACCACATAAGGAACAAAAGGACGTCCCCGGGAAAGCTAGAAGTACAGAATGGAGGAGTAGGAGCCAATGCAGGCAGCTTGACAGAGCCAATCCCTCACTGGTCTGGAGGAGCACAGCTTAGCTAGGGGCATAAAAAGTAGGCACAACAAAAGTCTTAATCATAAGAGATCAAGAAATTTCCAGATGCATAAAGCCAAGGGCCCCAGAATCAACAGGGAAAGTGAAAACACTAGTAAGTTGATTAGGCCTTTACCTTCAATGATGCTCACCTGTGTGGGTGGAGCTCACCTGACTGGATGGAGCTCACCTGTATGGGTGGAGCTCACCTACACAGCTGAGACTCCTTCAGATTTGCAAACAGGTTTGTACTGAGCATCAGGAGCAGGCTTAGGTGGGCATGAATGTCTCTTGTTCACAGGGCCATCAGTATGCTCTCCCTGCCTTTACCCACAACTGACCTCTGGGTGGCAGAGCACAGGAGCTTGCCCTTAAAAGAGGGGGGCTGGACAGTGCCAGCTTGGGTGGTGACACTCTCATGACCTGCAGTAGGCTCAGGAATCTCTTCTGCAGCCTTAGGCAGGCATGGGCATGTGAACCAAGGAGAAGGCCACAGCTGACTTCTGCCCCAAACACCCAGACTCTGTACTTGTTTTGGTGGGGATAAGAACTGGCCGGCAACTGTGATGCTAGATGGTGTGACTAATTAATAGAGGTAAAACCCACAGGTGCAGGAGAAGGGGATGGATGCTTGATGAGCAATAATATTATATCAGAATT